TTGGTTTGTTTTGTTTTACGGCATATCAACCTCCATGGGTCATTTAATGCCGACAACTTTTTCTTTTTCCTGGTAATATTTTTACTTTGTCAAAAATTATTTCTGTTAATATTTTTTCTCAAAAATGTATAGGTGGTAATATCATTTTTTCCCAAAACGTATAGCTGGTAATATTATTTTTCCAAAAACGTACAGCTGGCAACATTATTTTTTCAAAAACATATTATCAGAGGCGTTGCTGTTAGACGTAGTTTATCGTCATACACAGGACACGGATGTATTTTATCGTCATACCCAGGACGCGGATGTAGTTTATCGTCATACCCAGGACGCGGATGTAGTTTATCGTCTTACCCAGGACGCGGATGTAGTTTATCGTCATACCCAGGATACACTTTATGTAATTTTATATGTATTATTGATATTTATTCATAGCTGACACAAAGATGGATTCATACGCTTCCCAGATGCATTTTCGCGTAAGCGAATACAACAAACTTCACTGTAATTCGAACTGAACTCGCCAATTTCTCATTCAGAGTCTATCCATTACACCACCGGATATCCAGCTCCTGTTTACAAGACATTCAATACGTCTTGCTCTATGAGGAACTGTTCATCTTCTCAGTTGAGTGGTTTGTTTCTTACTGCTTATCAATCTTTTTTCATATTATTATTATTATTATTATTTTCCTTTTTACAATTTCTGTTGTATAGTCATTTTCTTCCAGGTCTCAACTTAAGGTCAGAAATGACATCATGACATTTTCATTTTGAAACATTTAAACAAAATAAATAAAAATAAAACAACCTAAGGACAAACACATTTTATATTGATAAAGCCAGAAAATATTTAAGATTGTATGATTTGTTTTGAATACAATCTTTTACTCATACAAGTCTTATTAATTAACACATAGCTGGGGGAGAAGAAGCGGATTCATATCTTTCCCAGGGTTATTTGTTCGTAAGAGAATATAATGAACCAATCTGGAATTTCAACTCGTCTCCAGAATATTCAATTCTGAACCGTTCTCTAGTAGACCACCGTACATTCTTGCTTACAGCAACTGGTGTTCTCCAAGTGGTCACCCTTCTAAGCAGTGACCAGGCTCGACGCTATTTAACTTCAGCGATCGAACGAGTACCGGTTTTTTTTTAAAACGTGATATGATTGTAAGCCTCAGCTTCTCAAGAGAGCATTATCTAACAGTATTAAAAGTTAATTATCCCATAAAATCAGAATTTGGGCAAACAGTACGTGTATCTCTGTTAATTTCCTTACCCTGGATTTGGGGTAACTTCGGGGTAGGATATTCTACTAAACAGAAACCAAGAAAAAGAATATAATAATAATAATAATAATAATAATAATAATAATAATAATAATAATAGAACAATCACGGCGAACAAGCCAGATATTGTTATTAAAGACCACAAACAAAAACGGTGCCTCCTTATTGATATGGCAGTCCCTGCTGACTGCAATGTATCTTTGAAGATATTCAAAAGTTGTCAAAAAATACAGGACCTTGAAATAGAAATCTCGAAAATGTGGCATATGGGAACATCAACAATCCCTGTTGTAGTTGGAGCCCTAGGACTGGTTGGAAAAAGATTGCAGTAGACTAATTGAAGGGATTCCTGGAAGTCCATGCCTCAAGGAGATACAAAAAATTGTTCTGACAAGTACAGCCCACACCTTTACGAAGGGCTTTATCATGTAATTTTTTTTTTTTTTTTTTTGTCAGTGGAAAGTGTCATGACGCCATTTCTAACCTTCATCATCATCATCTTGGCGGGACCTCAAAGAAATTGAAAACGCCAAAATCAAAAGAAAATAAAATTCATAATAATAATAATAAAATAATGAATTCTTGATGCTTCGCTAATTTCTATAAGAAACGTGTAAACCTAATAGAAATCAAAAAAAATAATAATAATAATAATAATAATAATAATAATAATAATAATAAATCTTTATCTATGTAATTTCTTCTTTTTTTTTTTTTTTGTCAGTGGAAATGTCATGTCTGCCATTTTCTAACCTTAAGGTCCCTGGGCGGGACCGGAAAGAAAAATTTAAAAACGCCAGAAATCAAAGAAAATAAAAAATATAATAAAAATAATCGTCCAGATATTGTGATCAAAGACCACAAGAACAGAAATGGAATCTTATTGACATGGTAATTCCTGCAGACTGTAATGGATCTTTGAAAATCTTAAAAATTTTTATTTTAAAATGAAAAAAATAATTAATAATTCCAAACTTAAAAACAAGCCTTCAGATACGATTGGAAAAAAAAAGCTCAAAAAAAATTGAAGGAATTTCTGGTAGGCCATGCTTTAAAGAAATACAAAAAATTGTACTTACAAGTACAGTTCACGCATTATAAAAGTCTTTATCTATGTAAAATTTGTATGATCTTAGGGCTTATTTTTACAAAAATGAAGAGTGGAAAAAATCATGAAGCCATTTCTGACCTTAGAGCTCTGGTTGAAGCCTGGAAGGAAATGTGTATACAACAGAAACTTTATGAAATATTAATAATAATAATAATAATAATAAAAGCTAATCGTCCAGATATCGTGATCGAAGACCACAAAAACAGGATGTGTTTTTTTATTGACATGGTAGTCCCTGTTGATTGTAATGAATCTTTTTAAAAATGTATCAAAAACAAGTGTCTTAAAGTGAAAAGCTCATGAGCACATGAGGACGTCAATAATTACAGTTGTAGTTGGAGCCCTCGGATTGATTGGAAAAGGGTCTGATAGTCACGCTGAAGGGATTACTGGTAGAATTAAAATATTTAAAAAAAATATTTCATTTTTAATGTGCTCATTTTACATCTCATTTATTACGAAGAGCTTTATCTATATAAAATGTGTAAGGGCCTACAGGATGAAAGATTTAACTTTGGAACATTGGGGTTACCAATTGTAAAGGTGTCCGTTTGTAGAGAGACCAATACATAGTACATTATACATTATATTATTATACTTTCAACGTTCGGGATTCAAGTAAACAACAAAAACTCCAGACTGTGAATCAACAAGTATATATTTAAATAATCATACACGAACAAATATGTAATAAAATTGTATTCACTGTATAGATTAAGGGAAACAATTTGTTCCCCTTTAATTGTAATTTGATTTGTAATTGATTGTTCGAAGGAAGTTCTTTTTTAGAGAAATTGTTCAGGAATCAATATTAGAACAAAGGGTCTGTTTGTTAGAATAGATAACACAAGAATACAATTGATCAAAAATGTGTTGTGTTATAGAATGGTTCGAAATTAACAGAGTCCTGGTTGATTGATCTTGGCTAAGTCACACAGAGAAATGTAAGTTTATATTACGAAATTTTGTATTTGTGTGTGCGTTTGAAATGTTATGAGCAAGATCGTGGACTTGTATGGACAGGTGAATTTTATGGATCTTAAGACAACTTTGAAAAAATCGCCTCTTTTAAAAAAAAAAGATTTTAAAAGCTCTCGAGG